TTTTCTATTGCTTACTCTCCCCCCCCCAAAAAAAAGCACACAACATTAAAATGCCAATGTGTAACTTTGGGACTCCCACGGCCTGAAACTGATAGATCATTTCAAATAACACAAAGGTAATTTAGTCAACATGAACAAATTCCAAAAAAGCCTCTCTGCAGAACTACTTAACAAGGTTATTCTTAACAGGGAACCTTTTTACTTTCAACTATTGTCTATTAATTCCCAATATCTGCTTCATTTTTCAGAAAAAAAAATTGCCTCCTAATTCAGCCTTTCTTCTTCACTACAAATTATTGGGCAGCTGGTCTAGACTGAACATTTGTGTTCTACACATGTATGAAAAGACCAAGCCTTCTAAAAGTTTTATGAAAACTGTACTTCAGTGGTATAAATGAGTGCCTTTACTTAATTTTTTACAAAATTTGAGTTTTCTTCCCTCCTTTTTAACCTCTCCATTAGTTATCAGAGAGCAGATAATCACACTCCTTCCCCCCACTCCCCCCAAAAAAATCTGATGTCCACCTTTTCCTGAACCCATAAGCAATATATTTAAGAGTGAATGAAGTTGAGAGACAGGGCAGTAAACACATTACTAGAGACAACAGCTTGAAGAAGAATATAACAATAAAACTACACACACAACACGTTTACTAATCATAAAGAGATGCATTGGTAAAAGAAAAAAAAAATCATCATTTCTGTCATAAATTTTGCAGTGCAGCCCCAGAATGGAGAACAATCTGGGCAATTTATTGGCATATTGGCAGGAGGTGATAAGGCTAAAAACAACAACAGCAAGCAGCTGTGCGGGGAGATGGGCTGATAGCATGATATGGCTCCCACACCAAACACCTCCTGTCCTATCAGGGCTTTTTATCAAACCAGGATTACAATAATAGCTTATGAGAAAAAGCTTCTGAAGGGAAGGCAGAAAATATAGTCTTGGAATAGGAAAAAAAATCTGAATTTTGGGACAAAACATGGGGGCAAAATACATAATTTATCACTGTATTATCAGGAAATCCAGGCAGTCTAATCAAGGAGCACTGAGTGACTATTTTTTGCCTTATCATCCAAAGTGGTGGAAACGGAGAAGGAATTATCAGGCTTCTGCAGATTGCTGGGCTGGAATTTTAATGGTAATAATCGGGTTTCTGATGGTATATCTTCTCCGCTTATCTTTCCCATTATCTCCTCTTATCTGGCCAGTCATCATAGCAAATTAATGGTGCTCTTTCAGCGTCGCCTTTTTATCGCTGCCCGGAGAGCACCCAAGGGGAAAGAATAAGCAAAATATTAAAATACTGCATAAATCACAATTTTAGATAGCAGGGAAACTGTATGCAGTAAAAGAAAAAAAAAACTGTGCCCAACAACCTTTTTGTCCTTTAAATTGACTGTCTTCAGAGTTTCTGGTATAAGCTGACTTTTTGCTTGTCATAGTTGCTCTAAATTGGGTGTTTTATCAGCAGTGCCAAAGCTTTATTTTCAAATCCTGGATGTTTCCAAGTTTAAAAATGTAGTTTTATTAGGGATGTGAAATGCTATTGTTTCACAGAGCATCTCTTTCTGCTATTTTCCAAATTATATTTGATTCAGAATATCAAAAGTAACAGTGTTATTTGTAATAGGAAACCGTTCACTTCTTAATGCATTACTAAAATTGGAGGGGAGACCTATCATAGAAATGTCTTTGAGTATCAAGACAAACTTCTTCCTCCGCAAATTTGACTCTTATGCTTGGACAGGCAAAAGGAAACAAATGTCAATAGTTTGCAACTAAAATGACTTTAGAGCTGCTTAAACCACATTTAAATATCTCCTCCCCAAAAGCTATGAGATAGCCCTGCTCTAATGTAACAATTCAAAGACCTCTAATTTTTCATTTTCCTCAACAGAGGAAGGGAGAATAAGGGTTTCCATATTTGCATAGATTATCACTGTGACCCCAACCTGAATCCAATAAAAGTCTAAAATGCATGTATATTAATAATATATATATGAATGTATCATCAGGCAATGATCACTGTAAACAAATATGTAAATATAATTATTTGTTCACTTTCAAATGGGAGAACTTTGATGCATTTTTGTTAATAAATCACAGCATTCAAATAAACCAGTAAAATGTTTTATGACCTATAACACAAGAGTAGCATCAGCAATTAGTTCCAATGCTTTAATCTTCAATTATATGAGGTGGACATAGAAGGAAAGAAAAAAAATTTAATGTAGCTAATTGAAAAGATAACAAAGTATTCCCAAGTAAAATCAGATGCTCCTTTTGCCATACAATCAATTAATATTAATTATTTATTAACAATCTAGATGACAGCCATGAACTAAAAAGCATTTGCATTTAATGTTTATAATCCCATCTTGTAATAGGCACAGTTTTGTGCTAGAAATGTAATATCTAAATAGAAGAATCTGATCAACTTAGTTCTAAAAAGTATAAGGCAATTAATTCAAAGTGTGAACAATCCCTCTGAAAAAGTGAAAGTCTTCAAGAATGGTGTTGCTATTTGATAAAAACTGTTTTCAAGCAAAAGTGAAGTTCACTACTTACTTAAACTCAAGTTGCCTACGAGAACTTAAGTATAAGGAAAAACAAATCCACTAAATAAAAGCTAGAAAATTATGTCTGATCTCTCTCTCTCTCTCTCTCTCTCTCTCTCTCTCTCTCTCACACACACACACACACACACACGACTGTTGAGAACCATTTAAAACCTGGTTCCCATTTCAAGGACAAGCTGATTGATAAGATTTATTTTTAAACTACATCGAATGAAGCTTTCGACGTTTGGATGTGGACATGAGCATGGTTAATAATCAAGGCAGGAGGGGGTACTAATAAAGCTCTATCCCAAAATTACATGACAATTAGTTTTAAACTAGCTGCCAGAAGCTAAACAACACGAAAAAAAAAAAAAAAAACAGACACATCACATGGCTCGCAAAAAAATAAATAAGGTTTTTTCTTCTTTTCGGCCAAAGCGTTGAAGATATGTCGCAGGCCTATCTATATAACATCATTGGAGGATTTTTCTCCAAGCAAGAAAGTTGACCTAGGGGATCTCTGTGAGTTTGTGTGTTTGGAGCAGGTGTCTTCTGCCCCGCAGTGCCCTGTAAGCACGACCGAGGTCCTCTGAGACTGGGGGCACTGGGCCACTGGCTCTCCTGGGCGCCCGCTGCCTTGAACTCAGTTTCCGCGCAGGGAAGTGATCGCGGCCCCTCCCAGCGAGGACTCTGCGCGCCTCCAGGGCCAGACGCAAACTGAACCCTGCTCTGCAGGATGTCACGGCGGCTCCGGCGCGACCCACTCAGAGTTCCCGGGTGCGACCCGCCTGCCACCAGTCCCGCGCTCGCAGGGTGGAGGCGCGCGGCTAGCAGTTACAGGGGCGCGAACTTTTACACCTACTTTTTGTTTCACTTCGGGTTTAACGTGACTCTGGCACCGCCTAGAATCAGGTCCCAGACACTCCGATTTTCCACCTCCCGGGGAAGTTACCTCCCTTGCCCAGAGGTCTCCACCCGCTCCTCATCCTGGTTGGTAAGAGTGGTTCCCAAGAATAGCACCCCTTCTCAACAACAATGACAACAACAATAATAATAAGCGCCTAAATGAGTGGGACTGCCCTGTCAGGCTCCAGGATAAAGCGGCGGTGACTCACAGCTTGCGGGGGTAGGCAGTGGGAAAAAACCTGGGAGCGCCAAGGCTAACCCGAGCAAGAAAAGGCTGTTCCTCGAAGCCTCCTTCTAGCCCGGCGCTTGGGTTGGCCCTCTGTCTGTCTGTGACTGTCTAGTTGTTCCTCCCCTGGCTCAAGCAAAGTTTGACAAATCCGGGGGACAAGAAGCGGATTTCCCCGAGTCCCCCTCCCCCGTTCCCACCGCGTGCGCCCCTCTCCTCAGAAATAATCCCACCAACTCCGGGCCCCGCGCGAAAACTTACGTTTGATCTGCCGGGGTTTGCTTTGCTTTCGTCGGGACATCTCGGCGGCGGCCGCTGCCGCTGGGGCTCCTGCGGTGCCCGCGGTCCGGGCTGCCGCTCCCTCGGCTCCCGCCGCTCGCGCCGCCGCCGCCGCCGCCGCCGCCGCTGGCCAGGCTCAGGCCGCCGCCCGCCGGACTCCAGGTGCTCCGGGCGCGCGGGATCCGGGCGCTGGGCTCCTTCGGGAGCGGCGGATCCACGTTTAGAGATGAACAAGCAAATGAGAAGACGAGAGGGGGGCCAAGAGAGTGTGACAAGGAGGAGGGGAGGGGGAGAGGGGGAGAGTGGTGGGGTGGGGGAGAGAATGGGAATCAAGAAGCGAACGGTCAGGGAGAGAGAAAAGGAGGAAGAGAGGAGGGAAAAATAAGAAAAGAAGGGAGAGAAGGAGGGAGGGAAAGGAGAGCGCTGAGGGGAGAGGGGCCTAGAGGGGGCGGAGGGCACCAGAGAAGGAGCGCGCTCGCTTCCCCTGTGCCCGGCGTGCGGGGCAGATACTCGGGCGCCGCTGCCGCGGGTCCGGGCCGCGCAGCTTTTGCTCTGCCGCGGGAGGTGGCGAGGCGCGGGAGGGAGGGGCGCGCCAGGCCGTGGGGAGGGGAGACTATTCCATCAGCGAAAGAAGGATTGGCTGCATCCAAAGCCAGTCCGGATGCAAACTCGGGCCCTGGCCTTGGTCGGGTGGAGTGCAGGGGATCGCGGCGTGGGTGGGGGTGGGTGAGAGTTGTGGAGGAGGCCTGGAGCACGGGGGGTGGCCACCTTCTGCAGTTGTCACCGCGTCAACGCTGGGCAGCTGCCAGAATACCCATCCCCCCCTCTTCCAGCAACTTCTTCCAACAGCCTCCTCTGACGGACCCCAACTCTCCTCTCTCACGCCTCGCCCATCTAGCAGGGCACAAAGAAATCTCAGTCTTTCTATAAACTTTGCGCTTCCAGTTATGCCCCCTCCCCGGACCCCCGACCCCCGCCCTTCCAGATTCTTGGCAGGAAGGTTAGGCCACTGGCAAAGTCCTCAGCGAGAGCCAGCTGATCACAAATGCCAACTGTGTGTCTTGGGGCCAGTTAAGTCCTCTCGTCTGCCCAAGCTCTCAGGACACCATTTCATTGCTCTCAGGGTTCCCAGGAGACTGCTGCGGACACGGACCATCCCCCACTTGGCCCGCATGGATGGGGTGCTGAGCAGCGTCTTCAAAGTGCTCTTTCTCACCTCGAGTTTCCATTTTAAATAGTAAAATGCTGGAACTAGGAGACAGGCAGATATTTTTCTCTCATATCAAAAAAGGAAGACCGTTAGCTAGGTGATTAGCTGTAAGTGGGAAGCGAACTATCATCTCCAATAGGAATACTCACTTTTTGAGGAAGTATGTGGAAGTTCTGCAGTCCCACCTTGCCCTATGACCTTTAATTCTCTTAGTTCTTCTGCCACAGGGAAGCACCGAGCGACTAATAAAAGATTTGATCTTGCCATAATTTCCCAAGCAGGTAAGACCCAATAACTATTTCATGGTTCTTTAGTTTCTAAAGTTTTCTTTCATTCTTACTCAATTATTGTGTTTGTAGTATGTTGGAAACTGCAAGGCAAAAGAACAAATTTTGAGATGATTTGCATAGTTATTATTTTGGCCAAGTGAAACTGTATGAGATTCGCTTACTTTCTCATAATTTCATATACACTAAGTATTAAATATATTCACCCGGTGGGCGGGAGGGATTTCTATCCAAAGGGCAGTGGAACTGGTTGCTTTATGTAATTAGTATTTACTAATAAACTTCTTTGCAGTTAGCATGTATGTATCCCCCAGAGACTGCTGACATTCCCCACAGGAGGTTGTGAAATTGTCCATTCTGATCTGAAATTGTGTCCCCCTTTAGTTGACTAGCATTAGTGTGAGTCCCACCAAATGATACTCTAAAAGGGTCTGGGGGTCAGCAGAGAGCATGGGCTTATTGAGCATAATGCAGGACACTCAGTGTGTAAGATGCACTGTAATCAGTGTCATTTATTACCCATCAGGACATCTTCTGGAAGGTGTAAAGAGTTGCCTCATGAGTAGTATGGCTGAGAGAATCTTAACACAAAGCCGAAGACCAATTGTGAATTTTATTACATTATCATTAGTACTAGTACCACATTGAGGTTTGTAAGGACATAGTACATGGTCCTGTACAGTAGAAAATGCACTATATAATGAAGTCCCTCCCCTGAAGAACCAACAAATTAAGGTCCTAAGTACCATGAAAAGCAGGGTTATTTGTGCTTGTGTTGTAGAATGAATAAGCAGACAGAGAAGTACAGATTTTTACCTCCTTCATTTTCAATTCATTACAGTTGAATTGGTGTGCATAGAATCTTAGAATCCGTTATATTGTACCTTATGGTTTTCAAAGATCCTTTACAGAACTGGCTGACTTTTTATGTCACCCAAAAGGAATGCCCATTGGAATTAAAATAACATAATAGTTAGTGTTTCTTTTGGCATTTGAAATGGTTAAATATGCAAAGCAAAAGAGAAACAAATAAAGCTCAACTAAATATTCAGTTTAAAAACTGAAAGGAACAAAAGTCAGGGAATTTTAAGGCAAGATTCTAAAATAACCAGAATGCATTAATAGAAACAGTGTATTTCTAAATTATAAACATAGATATTAATTATAGTCAATATGAATGAAATAAACTAATACTGTAAAATCTTGTATTTTTACATCACTTTTAATGAAAGTATTGATGATATGGAAGGTTCAATTTTTTTTCTAGTTTAACTCACTAAGGTTATAAAATAAAAAGACAGCAAAACCTATAAGCAATTATCTCTGTCCAAATGGATATAGCAGCTCCAAACCACAGCTACATGACTATCAAACAATGATTATGAAAACCACAATTGAGAAAAGCATCAGGGAATGATATTGCAAAACCACAGCAACAAATGTGTCTGTGATATTGAAAACCACAATTCAAAACTAATACCCTGTGTATCGCAAATTACTATTTAACTATAAATGTGCAAATCTATAAGTAAGAGCACAAAATAATTTTTCATTTAGTTAACAATGAATTATTCATTTTCTAGACTCACCAATCTAATGTCTACATATTGGTTTGTTTTGAAAAGTTTCTGCTTTCAAAAACAGATCGTTTCAAATCCCATAAAAAAATGTTAGTTAATTTAAAAGCAGGAAACATGCAACTTTTGATCATATTTTTTCAAATGTTTAAAGAATTGATCTGAAATCAGTCTGAAATAAAGGAATATCTACCTCTGTATAGCTTTCTTCATAAAGTTATTTAGAAATGAATAGGTATGTTTATGGGAAAAAAAGCTCAAAGTATTCAATTACAACTTCAATGAGAACATACACATTCTTAGTCATTTTTAGCTAAAGAGCATATGCCTGACAATGAAATGAAATGCCAGTTCTAAAGCTGTTTTAATATGCAAAATCAAGTTTTTGTTTACAAATGAGTAAATTGATATTTTATTTGGGAGCTCAGGGGGTTGCCATATTTTTCTAATTAATAAACAAGGTGCATAGTTAAACATGAATTTCAAATAAACAACAATAATTCTTTAGGATAAGTATTTTCCATGCACTATTTGATACATATTTATCCTAAATAATAATTGTGGCTTATTTGGAATTCAAATTCATCTGGGTATCCTGTATTTTATCTGGCAAACCTACAAGTTTAGCATTTAAGCTTTTTTCACATATTTATGGTTGTTTATAATATTGTTTATAGAAAAGGCAGAGAAACTCTAAAGTGCTTCCTGCAGGCATAAATATATTTAATTCCTGAATGTTGTGTTATTTAGGGAAGGCAAGGTAGAAGGAATAAATTTATGTATAAAAATTCTTACTTTATTTGGCACAGTATAGAAATGCGCTCTCAGTGTAAATGGATTGCATTCATGTATGTCTTACTGTTGGATTTGTTTTTAAAATGTGTTTTTCTTCCCCCTCCAAGGGATCAACAAATTGATAAAGCAAACTCAGAGGCCACATCTTATTAGACAGCAAGCTGCCTTCTTTATTATGGGAGTAAGTAATATCCAAAAGCTTCAGAAAGACTTAATTTTGCCCTTGTATCCTCACCAGAAATTGAATACAATTTATCTGCCTTGATTTAAGATTGTGGCACTGAATTGAACAAAAATACAGTGTGAAAAATGTGTTTAGTATTTGTGTATCTTTATAATTTCAGCAGTTTTAACATGAAAATCATATTCATCTAAATGGCATTCCTATTTTATAACTAGGAAAAAGACTGTTTACTTGCAAAGGAACTGAGGACTTCCAAAAGATTCATTCTATCTAGATCAGGGGGGTTAACTTGAGCTTCATGTAGACCATCTAGCTCTTGAAAGAAGTTTGTAGGTTCAAATAATTTTCTTAGGAGTGAGTATATTGAATTCACCAGATTTTCAAAAATGTGTGAAAAAAATCTGTGACCAATGTAGGTTAAGAAACACTATTTTCTTTATTTGTATATGTTTATGATATACTGAAAACTAAAATGTGAATGATTTAAGTTATTACTCTTTGTACCCATCCTTTAGGTCCAAGTCACTACTCTGAGAGAAGAGAATCATAAGATAAATGCTACTTAAAAAAACAAAACAAAACAATATTTTGTTCCTAGGTTTGTGTAATGCATAACATTCTCACCAAATATAAAATAAATATTAAAGGAATGGCCTCCTACATTTTAGAAATATCTGTTGATTTGGTCTGCCTAGCATCCTGGTAGTAATGCCATAATACCTTTTATAGAACTCCTTCTCATTCACTATATAGTCATGTGGTGCAAGTGTAGCCTTTTCCAACCCCTGACCAATCAAAATATTCCATTTGTCTCTACAGTGATTGGCTCAATGTTCTAAATTGTTTCTATGCAAGTCTACCCTGGGAATTTTTCCTAAAACCAATGAGGAAGACAGGCTGTTTTACCCCTGGGGTTACTGCTTGGAGTATACACATAAGAAATTCCTAATGGCCGTGCTTATGAAAAGAATCTAGTGTAAATACAGATCACTTTTTAATCTTACTTTGTCTTAGAATCTGATTTTGGGAGAATCTAAACCAAAACACTCATCAACAGTCCCACATTGCTTTGTTTTGAATCCACCAATATTATCTGTGTCTCTACATAAATGATGAAGTTTCAGTCAGTTCTGCTCTATTTTACCTTTTTCTTTTTGATCAGGCTAACCCTTCTGTATTTTTGTAGTCACAGTATAGATACTTTTCATAGGAATAAATTACTAACCTCTTAGTCTAAGTGAGATACCACTTTTTAGTTGTTTTCATAACACCTTTTTATCTACCATAATATCACTTATTGCATTGTATTGCACTGGAAATTTAATTATATATAAATCCAGTCTTCATCAGACCCTTTCCAATCTTAACACACTTACCTGGCTGGTAAAATTTGTGAGGGCAAGAAACATATCTATATTTTTAAGATTTCTATTCTCAATGCTGGACACACAGAAGTTCCTAACAAAATTATTGAAAGAAAAAGTAAGTTCAGAATTATTCAGGCTTATCTGGGGACTCCTTACCATTCCCAATCCACATTCAAAGAATCACAGGTTCAGGAGATGACTGCCATGTTTGTGCAACACAAAACCATATTCTCATGGTGAATGCTGGGACCAAAGGGAATATCTAACCCTCGTTTGACCAACTAAAATTCTTAAGAAACTAGAGCTAGTATTAAGAGTTTCAGTCCTTACATGGCTGATCTCTTGAAATAAGAAGTAAAACCTTTGGAATTGTGGCATGGTTATTACCATGTGAACAGTGTAAACAAGATTGTTTGATAGCAGAGAGAAAAAGAAGCAAAATAAATGTTATAAGAGAAGCTGAGATAAGAACAGAAACTGCTATACCAAATTCCTGTCCAAGATGTCACTGAGATATTGATGTTTCCTTAGCCTAAATTTCTTACTACCTTTCTTTTTTTGGTTATTTTTGGCCTAAATTAGTACTAGTTGATTCCTGTTGCATTCAAATCAAAAAACTAAACTAAGGCAAAAAGTAACCATCTCTATGACTTTGGTCTACTTGACTCAATATCTGAATTTAGTAATATCAATCTACCTATCTTTTCCACTCTCCTTTAGAAAGTTTATATGAAAGCATTTTTGATTAACATTTCATTTTATCCTGTACAACTGTAAACAAATATATTATTAAATAATAATTTAATTGGGTAAATCTACAATTTTAACATAGGCAAATCAAGATCTTATCAATTACCAACTTTGGATATTCACTTCAACTTGGTGTAATTCCTAGGGAAAAAGTATTTTCAGAGTCAGAGTTCCTCAAGGACAATATAATCACTTGACATGCATATCCATAACCCTCCTGATTACATATATTTTCCCCCAGATGTTTGGTTTCACTTTCAACTTCACGTTTCCACCTTTGAATAACCATCTAGCAGATTACCTTCCATATAAACTTTATGAATGTTGTTATAATTTACATGAATGATGTTTGTACTTCTGTGGTGAATTTTATTTTCTAATCTGGAACTTTTGCCATAAATTCTTAAATGCAAAATAAGAAATTAAACCAATTTTGAGAATACTCATTATGTATATAGACTTAATCAGATTACTTATCTTTGCTGTGATCTACTGGCTAAAGTATATTAAAATAATGTAGTAGGAGTGAATTTAGAGTGAAGTGAAGATATAGGACTGAAAAGGATAATTATATTATTTTTCAGTTTATTGGTAGTGAAAATTGAAAAACATCATTCACATAATTATTTTAAAATATTAATTTTAATTTTATTAAACAACTACTTGTAGATAGATTTAAAGATCAAATTGATTTTCAAGGCTTGTAATTAGCAGTGTTTTCTACCCTGCTTCCCAATAATTTATGATCTCAGAGGTATAATCATCAATTGTTTTAGCTGATTCTTTTATTGTTCACCCCATATTTCTAAACAACATGCTTCACTATGCTTAAAAATTTTATTAGGTTAGGTCTTATTGATTATGTTGACTATCTGACATGAAAATACAAAGATGCAAGAGCTTTCTACCCTTCCAACACACTTTATCCAAATTTTTAATCAAATCAAAAATTTGTGTATTAAGTGTAGTCTGTTATATTTTCTTTTAAGCTAATTCCGGTTTTCCAAGGTATATAATTATTTTGCTTGTCATTTCCTCAATTTTCTATTCACTTTCACTATTTCACACCCAAATCCTTGGTGAGTGTCATGCATTCAGATATATCAGCACAGTCAAAGACGTCCAGTTTGGAGTTATCTCTCTCCTATGGAGCTGTCATTGGAGCCCTCATTCTTCTGCTCCACTTTAAAGTAATTGCTCTCTGTCACTGAAATTTCCTTTTCAAAATCATCCTGGGAGTTCCATTGATTTTCTCCTGCATTGGATTCCAAGTTTCTTGGACTACTGTGTATTCCTTTTTCATCGCTTTCTACTCTGCCCTACTCCCTGCCCTGCCCTGCTCTGCCCTTCCCTTCTCTCTCTCTCCCCCCACCCCCGTTCTCCCCTCCCTCCTTCCATCTTGTAAATACAAGATGTTTAAGTTACCTTTTATAAACAACTTTTACTGGCATTTCAGAATTTCTAGGAGTGAAGGCAAACTCTTAGAATTGATGATACAAAGATGCTCCAACTATAATTGTTCTATATATCCTTGTTATTTTTTATCTCTAAAATTTAATTATATGTTTTTATTTTATCAAAGTAATGTTCATATGTTATAAAAATCATAAAAGGGGAGTGTCATTGTTTGGATGGGGTTTTACATGTACCTCAAAGGTTCATCTTTTGGAAGCATGGATCTCATTATGGTGGAACCTTTAATAGGTAGAGTCTACTGGGAAGTAATTATGTCATTGGGTCATCATTTGGAAGGGATTAATGTAGTCCTTAAAAGACCCTAGTTAGTTCTCATGAGAGTGGATTGTTATAGAAAGAGCAAGCCTGGGCCTGTATCAATCTGTCATTAGGTCTTTCCATGTGATAGTTTGTTCTACATGTGCTCCTGCCTTTGTGATACCATATGTCATGAGGACTTCACCAAATTCAAGCAGCAGCCAGCACCATGCTCTTGAACTTCCAGAATTAGGAGTTAAATAAATCTCTTTATATTTTAAAACACTTAGCCCTGTGTATTTTGTAATAGCAACTGAAAATGAGCTAATACAGGGAGGATATAATTAAGAGTTTCTTCTCAGAACTCACCACTTGGGGGCAACCACATTTAACCACTTCCATAATACTATACTACTTGAAATTCTATAGTCACAATAAATTTAGAAAGCATCTCTGCCCACTATAAAGAATGAAGTGATTTGTATCTTTAAAGTTTTCCTATTCTTCTTATCTCTTTCTGCATCTGACCTAAGTTTTTCATATATAGGGTAAAAGTTGATAACACATTTTTTTTTCTGCAGCTATATTTCCTTTCCTCTTAGGTCTCCACATTAATTCTTCAAGTCGAAAATGAATACACCATAACTATTTTATTATGATTATTAAGTACTCTCATTGAAGAACAAAATACTTGTCTAAGAGTCTATTTCCTCCTACTTGAGTCTCATAATGTGAGCCGTACTCCATTTGTGAAAGAATTTTTCAAATATAAGCGAAGTGGTTTTTCCTTGATTTCCATCAGTTGGTTAAAATCATATTCAGATTAGTTTGCTTTGTAATCAAATCATCACTTTTTCAAGCAGGTCTTTCCTGTTTTTTTTTTTTTAACAGATAAATTTTACTTCATGTAAATCAGTACTTTTTAATTCTGTATACATTTGGAGTACAGTTTGATGACGACATTCCAATTTGTCTTTCTTCTTCTTGTGATGAACCACGTGCTTTCTTTACCATCACTAATATTAACTAATTCCTTACTCATTCTGGCCTTGGCATGAGTCCATTTCAGTCTCATTCTTGAGAAAATTCTTTATGTGGCTCTTCACCTACCTTTTCAACTATTTGTTTTTGTTGCCAGCTGCTCATCCATTATCCTAGAAACTTTAT